TTGACTGTCTCACTTATTGTTTTAGGTTGCTTTCCTGGAGCGCAATGTAGTGTAATATGCAAACACAATGGCCTAGGCATACCTTCCTTTTACAATCTGTTAAAAATGTTTTTTTTTTTTCTGCTTTTACAAGAATCTGCAAGCAACTGTGACCAGCCCATCATGTGATTTATTTTTCACTTATTTTCCACTATTATTATTCTTTTTTGCTCAACCATTCCTTTCTGCAGTATTGAGGCTGTTTGCGTTCTTGTGTTATCTGTTGTGTTTTTGTACCGTCCCTCCACTAGTAATTCCCGACACAAGTCTGCGCTTAAGAACAACATGCCCCATGTTTATTATGTAGGCTTTTGTCCTCCTCATTTTTTTGTTCCCCCTTTTTTTGTCTCGTTTTCGAGAGTAATGGAGTCAGGGCTCTCTCTAGCACTGCCAAAAGTCTGTCTGGAACGCATTACAGCTGAGATCCAACACATGGCAACTGTTAGAACGAGAGAGAGAGAGAGAGAAAGAAATAGGCAGAGAGAGAGAGAGGAAAAGCAAAAAGAGCAAAAGAAAAACAGAGCAGGTTTAACATTTGGTTTCAGTGTCAGTAAAACACCCCCACCCTCCATCGCTTCCCTCATATGTGTCTCCCCCGTTCTGAGTTTTAGTCTTTGTTTCATGCACTTCATCCTCACTTTTTTAGTCTCTTTCCCTTACTGTTCTCTCATCTGTCCTCACAGTTCTGCTCATCTACTTGTGTGTTGTTGATTTGTTAATTAATGATGCTACTCTTGATTTTTCAAGGTCGATTCCAATTGTTTGCATTTATTTATGTATTTATTGCAAGCGAATTGGCTGATCCCAATTACAATTATTTCTTTTTTTTTATTTATTCTTAAATGAACTACTCACTCTTAACTAGGCATAATTGTTCCCACTTCCCCTACAGCCCACATTCAAATTGCATTTTCATGTTGCTGAACAGATCCACCACATTTTTCCAGCTCATAAATTTTTATAAAAGTTTGTTGAAGATGAAGTCAGCTAAAGAGTAGCAGGGGTTTTCATCTTTGATAATCTATAAGAGTTCTCATTCATTGAAAGGTAAGAATGAATTATAAACCCTTATAGAACAGTCCCTTAGAAGTAACATTGTGTCTTCTGTTTTGTGATTAAGTGCTTTGCATTTATGCGGCATGCATACCATGCCCTTGGCCACACATTTTCCACCTGTGGCAGTGCAAGCCAACTCACACTAGTCAAACAAACCAGGATACTTTGGTCAAACGTGCCCAGTACAATTCAGAAAGCCTAGTGTGAATAGATAGATAGTTGCATGATTTAAAAATAAAACAAAACATAATTATAAAAACCCTGGGGGTGCGCGACAAATTTAAGGACCAGGCAGAGGACACTTGACTCCTGGGAGATCATCATTCGTTTGAGGGCATCAGGCAGCCTCTATGCATATGCAGGAGACTCCCCGAACTTCCTGGAGCTATATGTTTTTTTCCCCTTATTTGATTTATTGATTTATTTATTTGTTTTGGTGCATATACTTGTGTGGGCTCAGAAAACTAGTGTAATGGCGGCACGCCATCTTTGCCAGACTTGGGCAAACTCCGCCTCTCCTTTAACTCCACCCCGAAGCCCAGAAGTAATGAATGAATTCCAGCTGGCCATCTTTGGCCCAAGGTATTTGGTGGGCCTAAAAAGTCCGATTGCTGCCCCTGAGGAAGCACCAATTTGGCCCGATCAGGCCCCGGAAGTGACAGTGGAAACGCGGCTGTCCCTGGCATGCTCGCTTTAGGCATAATATATAGGCTTTTATAATAACTCACAGAAATCAATCAAGTTTGGTGAAGAAAAAATCATGATTTGTGGTTACATTCAGTATGGGTTGTCCGAGAGATCAGTAAAGTGGACGGCAACATCAACAGCCAGAGGTATCAAGACATTTGTGCTGCCCATTAAATTACTAACCACAGAAGAGGGCAAATTCTTCAGCAGGATAGTGCTTGTTCTCATACTTCAGCTTCAACATCAAAGTTTCTGAAAGCAAAGAAGGTCAAGGTGCTCAAGGATTGGCCAGCGCAGTCACCAGAAATGTATATTATTGAGTTTGTCTGTGGTAAGATAAAGGAGTACGCATTGACGATGAATCCAAAGAATGTTGATCAACTCTGGGAGTCCTGCAAGAACTTTTTTTTGCCATTCCACATTACTTTAATTATAAAGTTATTTAAGTCTTTGTAGGGATGTATGGATGCAGTGCTCCTGATTTTTTTTTTAACCTTTTGAAACGCAAAACTAAAAAGGATCTCCCACATTTGAGCTATTGTGAACATTACAAAAAACAAAAACACATTTTTATTCTTACATTACTTTAAAATTAATGTAGATCATTTCATGTTATATGGCTGCTAGTTAGTATGTCTGTTAGTTAGGTCAGTAGAATCTCTGACCTTTATTAACGATCCATTAAACACTTGTTACTGTAAAATCATTGCAGTGCAAGTTAGAAACACTGATGAGCTAAATGAAAACAAAAAATTCACATTTCTCCCTGGTCGACTGTTGCATCTGTGTTTTCCAGACTTCTCATTACCCTGCAGAAGTCACTTCTCTCATCAAGAGTCTATGTAAATCTTCCACTGCTTTATTAAAATGACAAGCAGCACATAAGCTGGAAAACACACACACATACAGTCCAAGAGGTGATTAAAGACAGGAAGAGGAGGAGTCAGTGATGAAGAACAGAATGATGATGTCTCATTAGCACATGTCAGAAGAGGAGATCATTTGGCGGATGAGAAACCCTTGCTGAATAATGATTGTACGTTTGCTAAAGATAGAACTGTTTATTACTGATTGAAGGGTAGATGATCAACAGTCCACAGGGAGAGACAGAAAGTCTAAGAAAATGTTCTTCTTAGTCTACTGCAAAACGGGGTTCTTCCTCAGGATATCCAAGATGTAGGCGACTTTTTTCTTTAGTAGATGCTTTTTAGCTGAATCCTTAGTGATTAATATGGAGCTGATACTGGCATATTAAGAGTTGAATATATATATATATATATATATATATATATATATATATATATATATATATATATATATATATATATATATATATATATATATAAACACACAGGGTGGAAAAAAGAAACAAAAAAGAAAAATATAGTTCACCCAAAAACTAAGATTACCCAAACTCGAGTGGTTCTAAACTTTTAGGACATCTGATAAACACAAAAAAGACACTATGAAGATTTTTGATTAGAAATAACCTCCGTTGTAGTCAGGAGTAGGAACAAACAATATTGTTTATCTTCCTTTGTGTTCAACAGAACTCAAACGTTTGGAACAGTGGAGGATTTAACTTTTGGGTGAACTTCTCTTTATACATGGCTACTAATGGTATATGAAGAAATTTAAACTAACAACATTATTTACCTTTAATCCAGCCTTTACAAATAGTGCTGGATGCATTTGTAACAGTCTATAGAGTGCTATTCTTTTTGCATAATGATAAATGCAGGTTTGTAAACTTAAGTTGCACATGAGCTAACAGTGTTTTTACAACAGAAAGTTCAATGCTGCAATCTTCATTTAAGTAGTTGTAAATGAAGAGTACTCACATAAACCTCCTCCAATTTGTTCATAAACCCCAATTCAGGAAACCTTACTCTAGATCACAGGTGTCAAATCCAGTTCCTGAAGGGCCGCAGCTCTGCACAGTTTAGTTCCAACCCTGCTTCAACACACTTGCCTGTAGGTTTCAAACACGCCTAAAGGACTCAGTTAGTTTGATCAGGTATGTTTGATTAGAGTTGCAACTAAACTGTGCATAACTGTGGCCCTCCAGAAACTGAGTTTGACAGCTGTTCTCTAGATCAAAATGCTTAAACTAGGCTTCAAAGTTTTGGTCATTTCATGGTAAATATTCGTTTTGCGATTCAAATGTGTGGTGTTGTTTTTTTTGGAACGTGTAACCGATGGAAAATGTTCAACTGTTTTTCTTTGTTGAAAATTTGTTTTGTTATGAAGTTTTTTTGGAAACTTTTTGTTTATGTCTTGTTTTGAGTTCAAAATTTTGTTTTTTAATAAGTTTTTGTTAATATTTGTTGAAGTTTTCTTTTAATTTTGTTGAGGTGTCTTAAGTTAATGTTTTATTCTTTTAAAGTTTTTATGTTTATTTGTTTTTTAGTTATTTGTGGTTGTTAAAGTTTTTGATGTTATTACGTTGATCATCCACTAGTTGTAGTTATTGTAAGTTATAGAAAAACATTGTTTTTAAAGATGGTCTTTTTAACCATCAAAACAAGTCTCTTCATTCAAGAATCGTTTATTTCATATTTTGTTTTTTGTTTTTTTTAAATAACATGGATAAAAAATATGAATTTACTGAAGGTTCAAAGGGTTAGATGACATTTTAACATTATAGACCCTTTTCACATTTCCGGTTTTCTCAGCAACAGAAGGCATCATAGTTGGGTAACTTCCATAGGTAAACTTGGATCGCAGTGAATGGGACAGTACAACAATTTTTTTTTTACAATCTTATTTATGACAGCAGCCAAATGAGAGAATAACGTCAAATTTATTCTCAGCCTCATAGATGCTGCATTACAAACACCTCGTATAAACGGGAATTTATTTTGTGCAATTTAATGCAAAGATAATTTAATACATTCATAAATACTATAGGGTCTATAAATGTTCACTTATTTTTATTATGATTATGATTATTATGATTATGATTATTATTATTATTATTATTATTATTATTATTATTATTATTATGTTAAAGACATTATTATTATTATTATTATTATTATTATTATTATTATTATTATTATTATTATATTTGTTATTGCATATTTTATGTAGCCTTTCTATTAACATCTGCTTTTAATGCTTATGACTGTTGACTCATGTCTCTTGCTGCTCTTTGGTTTAATGTGAATTGGCAATGATAGAGAGTGACCATTTATTACCTGGCCTGTTTTCCACAGATCAGCCACTGCGAAGTTGCTATGGGAGACAATGCTGGTTGCTAAGCAAAAGGAGGCTGTGATAGAAGTGAGGAGGCAACTGGTGGAAGCAGCCAGCAAAGAGAACCTGCCAATCAAAATGAGTCTGGGTAAGGCCAAGCCTACATATACAGATCACACATACAGAAAAACACATGAACAGTGCAGATATTCATTAATACTAAATGTCATGATAAAGAACATGTCTAGTATTGTTATTTTGGTTTTATTATTAACTAGAATAACTAAGTATATTCCAATTGTTCACATTGATGATCATCTCTGCACCGAATGCAGTGAAGACTTACAAGTCTATGTATTTTCAAATATAAACATTTTCATTTTACTCCGGGCTGTATGTATGTTTGCTGTATGGATTGAGCGAATTCTGATTACTTATAGGCCATAGGTCTCAAACTCGATTCCTGGAGGGCCGCAGCTCTGCACAGTTTTTCTCCAACCCTAATCAAACACCGCTGATCCAACTAATCAAGGTGTTCAAGACTAGAAACTATTAAGCAGGTGTGTTGGAGATGTTTAAAGCTAAAATCTGAGCTGTGGCCCATCAGGAATTGAGTTCGAGACCACTCTTATTGACCTATTGATAGTTAACACGATACAGTAAAGCTCTGTTTGTTAGCATTAGTTAATTAAATAATCTGATGATGACTACTTTTAAAGCATTTATTGATCTAATGTTTAACATCAAAACATGTAACATTTTATATTTATTAAAGCCAAAAAATGAAATAAGCCAGTAAATAACAATGAGAATGTGGTCAAATCTGAAAACGTGGTAAAAAATCAAGCGAGGGCTTTTTTTTTCTGGATTTTTTAAAAACTGTCAGTTGGGTTTAGGGAAGTGCGTGGGTGGGTCAATTTGTGCTTTTGAAAACACTTTTGGTTGGATTTAGGGGAGGAGGAGGGCGGGTCAGTCGATCGATCAATCAGGCAGTCATTTAGACAGCGGCCTCTGGTGGATTTAAGTGAGAACAGCAGGTGCAAATGGCACTTGCGAGAGAAATTTGAGATCTAAAATGGCGTACACAGCAGCCTCTGGTGGATTTGTAAAAACAAAAACTGCAAAATAAATGTAGCTTCTGGGACGTATTTGGTGCTCTCCAGAAATTTATATGGCGGATTGGCGGTACATTTTCAGAATGAGCCTAGGTTAAAAAATGTCACCAATTCTAAATTAATGAATGCACTAATCTAATAGTATGTTAAAATATTATTCATTTTTCAGTATATATGTTGTTATTATTATTATTATCAGGATTATATATATGTGATGATACAGTTGTTAAGTAGCGCTATTTTGCATTCAGTGTCAAATTCATCATCCTGACCATGTTAAAAGTTTCAGCAATAACTGCTATACAATAAACTTTGATACTGTCATGTTGCCATAAATGAGACACTCAGAGCTTTCTCAAAAATACCTCTCCGCTTTAGACATTACAACCATACCACAGGAATGGGCATAGCATAGAAAGGGAAAATCTAGAAGCTTCAGAAAGTGTTTAATTAGCAAAGGTAAATTTACCCTGAACTTTAAATTGCTACCAGAAAGAAAATTAGGCCTTCTGCCCAAACAGATAGCCTCCTGCAGCTTTACAGAACCTTCTGTTGCATTTACTGGAGCTTTTTTTCATGTCTTTTTGGTGTGTGCGTGAATGTGCATGTTTTTAATGATCTGTAAGGACTTAAGTTTGTATAATGACGCAGAGATCTGTATTACCAGAGGAAGCTGATTTATAAAAACATTGACCCATTCTGTCCCTATTTTTCAAAAGGCTTTTTAATTATACAGAATATTTTATATATATATATATATATATTATTTTTTTTTTGGAAGCAAAAGTAAAAATGCAAAAAGTTTCCTTTAAGGGTAAAGATGTTTAGAGGCTTAGATTTTGGATAAAGTGCTTGAAACTGCATGAAAATGTTATTGTTTTGCTTTTAGGTTAATTTATGGTACTGAATAGGTAATAATTAATAAATATTCAAATCAAATACAAGTATATTTTTGCTTTTGAATGAAATGAAAACTCTGCACATGCAGTGCTATCTACACTGCTATTTATCTACACCCCTTGAAATTAAAATAAATATACATTTAAGATAAGAGATAAATAAAGTACATATTTAAGATGGGTTAAATGACATGTAAGAGAAATGACAGTAATTCAATGTTGGGCTTGGTGCAAACAACTATATTGTACTTTACTATTCTATACTGTACTATACATTCATTAATTTTCCTTTGGCTTAGTCCCTTATTTATCAAGAGTTGCTTCAGTGGAATAAACCACTAGTTATTCCGGCATATGTTTTAAGCAATGGACGCCCTTCCTGTTGGAACCCAGTACCTGGAAAAACTCATACCCTCTCAAATTCACAGACACACTCATACAATAAGGCCAATTTTGTTCAGTTCTTTGGACTGTGGGGGAAACCGAAGTACACGCAGGAAGCCTACAAGAACACAGGAAGAACATGCAAACTCCACACAGAAATGCCAACTGGCCTACTCAGAACTCGAACCAGCGACCTTCTTACTGTGAGGCGACAGTGCTAACCAATGAGCCACCATGCTGCATACTATACTTTAACAATGTATGTATGTATGTATGTATGTATGCATGTATGTCTACCTATATAGATAGATACATGTATGTATGTATGTATGTATCTATCTATATAGGTGCGTATATGTAAATATATAATTTTTCACACTTGTAAAGTTCTTTAAAAGTTTCAATTCACAAACAAGGGTGTGTGTGCATGATGCTGCAGAGTGTTTTGTAACCAGACAAAGGTCTCTATTCAAAAACGTCTTGCCAAAGATTTTACATCAAGAGCCATGACACAAACAGTGAACGGGAGAGAGAAAAAAAAAGAGAGAGAGAGAGAGAGAGAGAGAGAGAGAAAGAGAGAGAGAGAGAGAGAGAGAGAGAGAGAGAGAGAGAGAGAGATTTGTGATTGAGTTTTAAAGACTAAAGATAAGAAAGGAAGAGAAGGAATGATATAGTTAGCAAGATTTAGTCTTTTTAAGTCAAAGATCCACAGCTCCCCCTTCAGACAGTAAGCAGCACTATACAATACACACATCTGGCCACTGAGGAAATAGGAACCTCATGTGGTTTCAAATGCATGCACACATACACATGATCCAGAGGTGCTCTGCTGTTCGTAAGTTAAGTAAGTTGATCAATATCGTCTGAAATGAGGGGTCTTGCTGGACGTTCACCAAGATCTTAAACACACAGACACAATACCTGTAATCAGACTGAATAGTATGTTAAAGCTAAATAGGAGTAAATGTTTGTGTGGAAAAAAAAAACTAAAGGTTTGGGTTTGACTGATTCTGCAGTTGATTCAGTTTTGTCTTGACCATTTGATACTTTTTAACAGGCTTGTGTGCCGGTTTACCAGCAGTTTTATTATGATCGGTTTCAGTTGTTTTTTTTGTTTTTGGTTTTTTTAAATTTTTTTTAATTACTTGAGCAATTATTCAACAATTAGCAGACAGTTAACAAACAATGTCACTAATTATATTTTAGTTTTATAGCAGAATTGATTTTACAATGTTGCCAACATATTTGGTTGTAGTACAGCAGTTCTACATCTCTAATGAAATAAAAATAGATATGAAATAAAATTAGGAAATTAGCCATGGCAACTTTAATTTAAAATACTTTGGTATGTTTATCTTCAGCCCACTGCTTTCAATGATACTTGGATTTTGGCCCTTCATAAGAATTGGTTTGGGTACCCCGGCTTTAAATTGACTCAAACACCCACTGTAGGTCATCTTGATTATGGTGTGTCCAAAAAAAGATGACCTTTTTGCTGTTTTTGTGTATATGTTTGCAGATTTAACTGTCAAATTCTATAAAAAAGCGAGTGCCTTTCTGGTTAGTGTGACAACATCCACATCTGTCGCTACATGTTTTCTTAGGACAGATTGAGAATAGCATGATGCCAATATGGGTTTGTATTGCTAAACACAGTCCTGACTCAACAACACATGGGACAATTCTTCCAAAGCACACACACACACACACAAACACACACACTTACAGTACAGAAACTTTAGCCAACCTTTCTCACTGGATCACAGTTATTTCCTGATCGCGAAGCCAACAGAACTTTTACAGTGCCAGAACAATCATACTGCGTATCAAACAGAACAAGCTGCACACACACACACACACACACACACACACAAACACAAACATATGCTGTATTTTTGCAATGCAGTCACAGCTGTTATAGATTTTGTTTTTGCTTCATCTCGTAGCATCAGATGCATAATTCTGATGGGCTGTTGTAAAATATGAGTGTATGCGCTCTGGTGGTCTTTACTTTTGTGTGTGTGTGTGAACTCTGGTGGTCTTTTTGGCTGCATGTATGAATGTGAATTTGCTTGTCTGCATGTATGCACTGTGGGTCATTGGTTCCCTGTGTGTGTTTGTGTATATTCAGGCCTTATTTCATGGTCATGTGATAGTTAGTTCTATGTGTCTCTCTTATTTCTCTTCCAGCTTTTGGTTTGTCTCTCTCTCTCTCTCTCTCTCTCTCTCTCTCTCTCTCTCTTTCTCTTTCTCTCTCTCTCTCTCTCTCTCTCTCTCTCTCTCTCTCTCTCTCTCTCTTTCTCTTTCTCTCTCTCTCTCTCTCTCTTTCTCTTTCTCTCTCTCTCTCTCTCTCTCTCTCTCTCTCTCTCTCTCTCTCTCTCTCTCTCTCTCTCTCTCTCTCTCTCTCTCTCTCCCTCTCCCTCTCTCCCTTTCAAGCTGTGGCACATTATTCTGAGTGATTCTTTGGTATTAGAGCTTTCTAAAGCTGACTCAATAACCCTTTTCAGTCTGGATATTTCTGGAACAAAATTAATTTTCTTAACACTATTTTATGTGTTGGCAAAATCCGATTGGTCTTTCTAGACAGTGCCACCATTTTCTTTAACCCAGCCACCCACAGAATGTGGTCGTAGACATCAGAGGACTGCATTTCTACTGATTCATTGCATACAAATGAGCTGGCAACGAGTTCATTATTGAGAAAAAGGCTTTATGGGGTTAGCGGTTCTGACTTTTTGGATTAGCCCAAC